CTTCTGGTTAGCAGTCAGATGCCTTAGGCACTATGCCACCAGAGTTCCATTCAGAATAGAGTACCCCAAAGTGTGTTGTTATGTTGTTATGTGCCGTCGAGTCAAACCCGACTCATAGCGACCCCTCCTTGGGTTTCCGAGGCAGTATCACTACGGAAGTAGGATTGCCCAACCTTCTGTATGGTATAATGCACAGGGAGATTTCTTTTCCCTACCGAACTAGTTATTACTAACTTTTAATGAGCAATGATTAAGAGAAAAGAAGATGCAGGTTAATATAAATATGAAATTCATTAGAACAAAACAACCCTCCCTCCCAAAAAAAAACCTTCTAGCAGTAGCCAATCTATTCAGGATTTTTTGTGTGTGTAGTTAGAAATTATGGTGGTCAATTACTTCTTAAGGTCAGTTATCTGTTACTGTTGTTTTGTTATTAGGTGCCGTCAAGTCAGTTCTGACTCATAGCAACCCCATATACAACACAATGAAACACTTTGCGGTCCTGTGCCATCCTCACAGTCATTGCTATATTTGAGCCCTTTGTTGCAGCCACTGTGTCAGTCCATCACATTGAGGGTCATATGCAGATACATGGATATTTTAGCAATATTCTATCTGTTACATGGATGTTTTAGCAGTATTGAAATTTATTAAATAAGAAGGTGGTAAATTAGGAGAGAGATTGATCTAGGTTTACAGAAAGATCCAAAATGATGGAAATCCTAAGACGACAAATCTCAATTAATATCCTTGATTTTTTTTGTAGTTACAGCACATCAGTTCTTTAGTGTCTCTTGATCTCTCTATAAAGAGGCAGAGCCGTTTGAAAGTTCCTGTCTGGCCTGGCAACCAGAAACCCTGAACTGAGTAAACACCAGTAGTAGCTGGAGCGAAGCATTAGTTCTAAGCCCATGAAATATGGAGGATTTAGAAAATAGCCTAGAGACCATACCTGATGTTATATAGTGCACTTTGACCCATGTTGTTTTATTGAAAGTCAGTGGGGGAGAAGGAGAAATAAGGGCAATACATTTGTTTTAAGAGAATAATGCAGACCACTTGGGTTTTTTTTTTTAATTAAAAATTGTGAGGCAACACAAATACTAAAAATATACTATCCTAGAAGAGCAGCCTTATACTAACCCTGTGAATTGTAAAAGAGAATCAAGGATGTCAGTCTATTTCATTGAGGGTCTTCCTCTTTTTTGCTGACCCTCTACTTTACCAAACATGCTGTCTCCTTTCAGTGATTGGTCCCTCCTGATAACAAGTCCAAAGTACTTATTGACATTCTTGCTTCTATAGAGCATCTGGCTGTACTTTCTCCAAGACGGCTTTGTTTGTTCTTCTGGCAGTCTGTGGTATATTTGTTATTCTTTGCCAACACCGTAATTCAAATGTATCAATTCTGTGGTCTTGCTTATTCATTGTCCAGCTTTTGCATGCATAGGAGACGATTGAAAATACCATGGCTTTGGGCCAGGTGCGTCTTAGTCCTCAAAGTGCCATCTTTGCTTTTGAACACTTTAAAGAGGTCTTTTGCAGCAGATTTGCCCAGTGCAAATAGTCTAGAAAGCTTTCTTGAAGTCTGTTTTTTACCTGACATTTTTATTTTTGTGTTTCATTTATATTTTCATTTTAAAGATGACTTTATAAAGTTTTATTTACTCTTTTTACACCTGTAGACCATATTTAGACACAAATTATGGCATTTTTAGTACTGTAATTCATTATATCAAAATAATGTCAGTAAATGTTACTTTATTGTTGTCATGTCACTTTACCCTTTCAAAGAGATTTTTTTAATTGATGTTATGATGTGGTTAAGAGAAGGCAGATTTTTTCAGAGTTCCTTGAAATCTTAAGAAATGGAAAACATTTATAAATCCTTAGAAGTAGCGTATTGTGTTGAACTGATGAGTTTCACTTCATCATATTGTTTAATAGGTTTGGGGCAAGATGGAAAGACTCTGCTAATTACAAATATTGACACAGAGCTGTGCACAGTGGACCCTCAACTGAGGATAATTCTTCAGTGGCTTGTTGCCTCAGAGGCTGAAGTTACAAAACTTTATGTCCATGATTCGGCCAAGGAAGATTTTATACTAGTAAGTATCTACCATATAGGGTACTTGTGAGGATGCATTTAATGGTATGTCATGCTGTCTGTCCCATGGTCATTCTAATATGATGCCTGTTTACAGTGGCATGATTAACTTCTTAGGCTATAGAATCCAACAGTCTGGGTTCAGATCTCAGTTCTGCCACTCTTAGTGGTATAATCTGGGGCAAGTTAACCCATGAGACTCAGTTTCCCTTGCTGCACAGTGAAGATGAGTATAGAACATACTTTTCAGGGATTTGTGAGAATTGTATTACTATAAGACAAATGATTATTCTGTTGTGTGACACATACTAAGTTCTCCAAGTGAGGTGTTCATCATGTGGAAGTTTGAGTTATTCTTTTTGTATATTTAACCAGTTCATAATTGAGCCTAGTAATTAGCATGTTTCTTTCTCTGGTAATCCAGTGTCATTATGTGAGAACCTGGCATAATCAAAAGCCAATAAAAGTTTAAACCTCTGATAACATTCAGATGTGACACATTACGAGGTTACTTTTATTTTTTAAAATTTGTATTAAGATTTGGGTGAAAGTTTACAGAGCAAAATCATTTTCCTTACAGCAATTCACATACACTTTGTCTCATGACACTGACTGCAGTTTCCCACAGAGCAACAGCTCCTCTCTCACTTTCTCCCCATAGTTACCTCTTCCCTGTGTCGTTCCCTCCATGCACTCCTCCCCTCAAACTGTCTCCCACAAGTTGCTTCTATCGACCCTTTACTGTGAGCCAAGGACTTTCTTAGTCACAGTCTTCACTTCACTGTTCTGTTTGTGTCCTAAAATTTTCTTTATGAGAACTTTGATTTTAATCTTCTAATGCAGTGTAGAGTAAGTAGTACAACGAATTGCCAGTGTAGATTGATCAGTAGTAACAAAAAAGGAACAATTTTTAAGTTTACTCTTGATTTCTGGGTCAGAATTTAGAAAGGTATTATTGAAAATATATGTGAAAAAAGAGGACTTTTGTGTGTGTGTGTGCACTTAGATGTTTTTTGGATTGTTCTAGTTTTAAAAAAAAAAAAGTTGCTCTCCAGTGTGTCCCGCTTCATAGTGTGATCCTGCATGTACCAGAGTCAAGCTATGCTCCGCAGGCTTTGTAATGGCTGACTTTTTAGAAGTGGATTGCCAGGCCTTTCTTCTGAGGCTTCTTTGAGTGGACTTGAACCTCCAACCTTTCAGTTAGCAAACAAGCTATTAACTGTTTGCACCTTCCAGGGACTTTTTCCAGGTTACGTTTTTCCTTTTAGGCAGAGGGTGAAAATAGAACAGAAAGGGTTGCTTTAGAAATGAATTGTCAAGGGAAAAGACTAAGTAGGGAATGTGTTAGAATGGACCTTGGGGAGGCAGACAGTTTCAAAAGACACTTACTCCCAGGGAAAGTGAAGAATAAGGAAGGCCTTAGTTAGAGCTGAGACTGATGGTGTGTGGGTCAGGGATCTGTGCCCTGTGTAACCTAGCCGAGGGTGGCTTTGACGATTGACTGAAGTGAGGGTTGCTTGATGTGGATGACAGTGTCTTTTGCTACTTATTTTAAATAAAGATCCTTTTTTACCATATGGGCAAGAGCCCTACAGGGCTGCTGACTAAGTACTAGAAAGCTAAGAAGCAGTTAAGAGGCAAGCACAGAACATTTTTGACAATAATGATAATAATAGGAATACTATGTTTGCATAATGCAGGTGCGTGTTGCTTGATGTCCGCAATACATTCTGTGAAATAGGGTAATGTTGTATGAACACCATATTATATATAGACAGTCCTTGTATAATCTGTAGTTAGATCCCCATAAAGCCTATTATAGTAAAAGGTAATGGGAACCTTCTAGACAAATCCTGAGAGTTGTATCCACTGGACACAGGAGGCCAGCTTTGCTTTGTGTACAACTGGGCTGGGAGGGGGCTCTGCTGGCCCCTAGATTGGGACTTTGCACACATCAGGGCACAGGCAGGGCATGGGGGTGCTAAGAGGTGGCTTCAGGGACTGGGTGAGGAGCCGGTTTCAGGTGCCAGGTATGAGCCTGGTGGTTGTGGCCCTGGCTGCTACTTCCATGTTGGTGTGGCCACTTCTTGATCATGTACAGATACCAGTGCTGCCACCTGCCACCCAGAACCAGGAGCTTGTGAGCACCCCAGCCCCCACTAGTGCTGCCAGCACCTGCAGCAGAAACAGATTTGCTGCAGCAGGCACTGCCGTGCACTGGGAGTGAAAAGGCCAGGGCAGGTGAACAAGGCCAGAAGGAGGAGGCAGAAAAGGAGATGCTACGGGGTATACCCTGGAGCTCTGCTACTTGTTCACTCTGGGGGCTTGGGGTTCTTTAAAACTATTTTTGGGGAAATAATAAACAACAGGAGAGGAGCTTTTCCTATGGGACCTTATTGGACCATGGACATATATAAAGTCAGATACTGCCTGAACATACTTTTAAGTGATGCAAACCTGTATACTACTAATCCTGACATTTTCACCTTTAAAGAGAACATGCGTTATTATCATAAGCAAAGATAATAGATAATTGTGTAGGGACAGTTGTTTGTTACTGAGTCAGTTCTGATTCATAGTGACCCTGTAGAATAAAATAGAACTGCCCTGTAGAGTTTTCTTGGCTGTAATCTTTCCTGAAGCAGACTGCCATATATTTCTCCCGCAGAGCAGCTTGTGTGTTTGAACTGCTGACCTTTTGGTTAACAACTGAGCTCTTAACCACTGTACCACCAGGTGCCTTAGATAGGGAAAAGTCAAGCATATTTACACAAGGGAAAAAAGGAAATAGATAAATTGGACTTCATCAAAATAAAAAACTTCTATGCTTAAAAGAACATCATTGAGAAAATTTTAAGACAACCCAGAAAATGAGAGCAAATGTTTGCAAGTGGTTTATCTGATAGGACTTGTATCTAGAACATATGAAGAACTCTTAGAACTCATTAATAAAAAGACAGATAACCCAGTTGAAAAATAGGCGAAGGATCTTAATAGACATTTCTCCAAAGATGATGCACAGATGGCCAGTATACTCAAAATCATTAGTATCAGGGAAATGCAAATCAGAACCACAGTGAGATACCACTTCCCTTTCCAATAGAATGATGACAATCTGAAGTCAGATAATAGCAGTTGTTGACCAGGATTTGGAGAAATTGGAAGCTTCATCCATTGCTGTTGGAGACATAAACCGGTGCAGCTGCTTTGGAACACATCCTGGCATTTCACCAAAAAGTTAAACAGAGTTATCATGTAAACCAGCAGTTCTGCTCCTAGGCATATACCCAAAAGAATTAGAAGCATGTGTCCATATAAAAACTTGTACTGAATGTTTATAGCAACATTATTCATAATAGGTAAAAGTAGAAATAACCTAAATATCCATTAACTGATAAATGAATAAATAAATATAGTATATATCCATACAATAGAGTATTATTTGACAATAAAAAAGGAAGAACTGATACATGCTATGGATATACAATGGGTGAACCTTGAAAATATGTGAAAGAAACTAGTCCCAAAACATACATATTATATGATTCCATTTATATGAAATGGCCAGGATGGCAAGTCTGTAGACATAGAAAGTAGATTAGTGCTTGCCTTGACTTGGGGAGAAATGCAGAGTGAATGCCAGTGGGTACAGGATTTCATATTGGGGTGATGAAAATGTTCTAAAATTGATTGTGGTGGCAGTTGCACATCTCTGAATACACTAAATACCATTGAATTATACACTTCAAATGAGTGAGTTATGTGGTATGGGCATTATGTATCAATAGAGCTGTTTAAAACGTTTGCATTAAAAAAATAGTTTTTAATAAATTAATAGAAAAATGAGTGAAGGCATATTCTGATTGGTGAAGATAGAGCTTATTTAAACTTGTATTTCTTTTTGATACATTAAAATTTCTTAACTTAGAAAGCCATGTTTCTGTTGAGGCTAGAGTGTATATTCCAGAAGGAAACCACACTATATGTTGTGGAAGGAAATTTCTCATCATTTTATTAAGCTTGACGTCGTCTTTATTATTTTATGTCCTTGAGGGTGTGGCAGATGCATTTAGTTTGGTTAAGAATTTCCTGTAGAAATGGAGCCTCTGTACTCCCACACAGATTTATCAGCTGGGTGAGGTTTGTGGAATTATGTCTCCAGTAATCCCAGAGTATCATTCTGTGGAGGAAATGTGTTTATAAAGGTCAGGAATGAACAATGTTTAATTTGGGTGAAGGGGTGGTGGTTTAGGGGAGAAACTTTTGTTATGACTGGGCAACAGCACTGAATTGTAAACAGCATGATTCTTAGTTTTGTCTGATGTTAAAAATAAAGATGAAAACTTAGTTATGAAATTGTCTTTGATTAACATTTGTCACACTTCTTTCTTAGCTTTCAAAACAGTTACAGGAAAAAGGATGGAAAGTGGGAGACCTCCTGCAGGCTGTGCTTAAGTACTATGAGGTGATGGCGAAGATGTCCAGCGAGGAGAGATGCAAGTCACTGTTTGATTGGCTCTTGGAAAACGCATAGATCAGATGCCAAACCAGTAGATTTTATTATTTGTTTTGGGAGGGGAAGAAACAGATAAAGATGCATAGGATAAAATTTGAATAGTGAATATTAATTAACATGAAGAGGAAAGTAAATACAGCTTTTTAAATGCTTGTGTCACACAGTGTATATAGTTCATACTTTTGTAATCTCTGTCAAAATATTATCTTCATTTATTCTTCTATCCACGTGCGTTGGGTTCTGACCCTGACAACATGTATATGAAGGAAGGTCTAAACGTGAAGTTTTCAGGGGCATTGTCCCATGGCATTCTTTTTGCATTCAAATAATGCTGCTAGAAATTGCACTGAAGGTGGCTGGGAATAAGTTCCGGGGATAGAGTTATAATTTTGCTTGCTACAATTACAGCAACAGGTATGCTCCATTACAAAGAAATCATATCCTATTAACTAATCTGACATCAGACACTAAAGTTGAAGCTAACTTTGTTTATCTGGAAGACTTTTTGTTCTATTTTTTAAAAATCACCTTTATTTCATAGGTCAGTTATTGGTAGATTTTTTTAATCCCCCAAACCATTTAATTTCTTAGCAGAAACATTAGTATTTCAAGTTTCTATAAATATCATACACAGTAGTTTTCACAGCATTTCATCAAATGACATTATTTACCAGTGCTGCCAATCATTCTGGCATGAAAGTGTGTGTGTACACATGCACGTGTGTATCTATACGTGTTTGCATGTGTGCGCATAAAGAAGTAGCTCGACCTTCTTGGGTGGTTGATGTCCTCTTTTATTTTACTGTTTTCTTGGTTAGAAACCCACTAGTAAAATGAAAAAGGTGCTTTATATAAAATGTCTGTAAAGACACTGCAGTAAGAATTTTATTTCTCTTTTTGACTATTTTGAATCCCCCAGTTATCCTACAAATGAAAATTCAAATTGTGAAACTTGTTGAAAATTTAAAAATTAACAAGGAAATTAATTTAGGACAGCCCAATAACAATAACATTTTTCGTTGTTGGAATTTTGACCCCCAGCACTCCTGAGCAAGGGTAAGCTTTTCCTAGAAAAATGAGAATGCTTTTTCTCTTCCAGATAAAATGTATCTGCATTCCTTTGTAAAGTTCTCTGCCATGATCTTTCTGGACTTTACGTTTTTCACCACTTTGTCTTCAGAAACTGCAAGTTGACAGGGTTAGAGGACCAAGACTGTGTCTTGGTTTTGTGTGTGGGTTTGCATGTGTGAACGTTTGGTTCTCCCTGAGAGGATTTGTAATCTACGGGAAATCACTTTTGGGACTTTGATTTTGCTTTCTTTTTTCCTGAGCACTGACTGTTCTAGAAGCTGTACAAAGTATATAAGGTGTGACACCCCCCAGGGGCAGGGAACATACATTTGAATTAGTAATTACAGTACAGAAACGTGTGTTATACTGAGTCAGATTTGCTTTTTAAGAAGAATGCCAAAAATTACTTAAAACATTTTCTGAGGCTACACTATACACTTTGGGTTTTTAAAATTTAAGACCATAAGAATAGAGCAAGGTTTAGACATAAATGTTTGCTAAAATTGCAAGTGTTTTTTAAGGAGAGGGATGCAGGGAACGTAAAACAGAATTGTTTCTGTCTCTAATTTCTCAGAGCTTGGGATGCAGTAGGCTGGATTGGAGCTTTACACGTTCAGCACAGGAATGTTTCCTCTTATTAACTACAACACGGATTAATTGATTCTTAATATTAGACTGCATTTTTATAAGTATATTAACTATCACATTGTGTTTAAAAACGTGGATGTACGTATGTTTGATCTGCAACAAAACTGAGTTCTGAATTTCTTTGAAACTGAAGTGACAATGTATTAGATTTGCCAAACTTTCTGTGCTTGAAAATGTTTATTTCACTTAAGGTAATAATCATTTTGAGGTAAGACTGTCCTCATACCTTTGTTTCTTTTAGATTTTTCTGGCGCTGTGCCATGCTCAGAGTTCCCTTATTTAGCCACTACATGATGACAGAATAGTTATTAGGTATTAGCATGCATGGTAATAATAATAGTGGAACTCTACGCTTGTATTAGTTCAGTGCAAGGGCGTAGAGAAAAATACTAAGTATTGGCAGATGTGAAGAGAAGCGTGAGTTAAGCTTTCTTATGTACAGAAAACATTTGTGTTTGGAGCAGTGTCTTTTCATCAAATGCAGTCTAAGCTTACTTTCTCTCAAGGTACTCTGTATATGATTTTCCAAAGATGTTCTAGATCTGTTTGGTTGCTCTGTTTGTTGAGGGCAGCCCTCACTGTCTTATTTTATTACATATCTGCTTGACATATTTGTAGCTGACATTGCCATTCTGTGTATTTTGGTCCTTATGAAATACCATGTCTTATTCAGTGCTGTTAAAAGTTGTGATATGCATTGAACTGACTTCTGCATTCATCAGTTCAAAAAGCCATTGAAGGATCTGTGTGGTGAAAATGAGGGAGACCTGTGGTCGGGGTTTTTTAAGACATTGTTTTTCAGACTGCAATGTGGTAGTATTTCATATTCTCCCTTAAGCCAAATTAAAATTGGGCATATCTTGGGCATATGTTGATTTTGAAAATATTTCCTGATGTCTATAAAAGGAGTGATTCATTTTTAAATCACAGAAGAAAATGACAGTGTCTGTTGAAAGTTGGATATGATTTAATGGACTTAAAGAACTTTTGAGGTATTCATTCAGTGGATATATGTGATAACATCTTTTTACTTTGACAGAAACTCCACTTACCCTTTCAGATATTTGATGTGAATTAATTAAATTCATAATACTTTAATTTTTTTAAAATAAGGGTTTTATGTTGCTAATAGGAGAATTGAATTGTTTACCGAGTATACCATGTAATAAAGAGAAGGTTTGCACACATGACTTTGATAGTAGTATAAGTTCCACAGATGCACGGTTGAATCTTGCCTCATCAGCAGAGCCCAGACTCAAGGTGTCTACTTTGTTAAATTGCTTAGATCATATTTTTCTTCCAGAATTAATATTGTCCATTTATCATCAGCATATTTTACATTTTTAAATTTTCACATTTTTCCAAAGAGACTTTACACAGACTTTTTTTTTTTGTATGAAATATGTATCCATACTCAGGGTGTAGGGAAAATACTTTCTGTTTAAAACCCTGTCTACCTGTCACCAGCACAAAAGGATGAGAGCTTTTGGTGAGAATTTTAAATTGTACTAAAGTGAAATGCATTATTTTTCTCAATTTCAGCAAAATACCCTCTAAGCATTTATTCATGTGCTGTATTCCTGCTCTGAAGATGCAGGTACAGTATTGGTCACTCATGTCACTTTATTTATTTATTATTTTTTTACCATCCATGTACATTCCTTTTGTATTGGTAGAGTGGAAGTTATAGAAGTTCATTGTTTTGTTTTTGTTGTAATGTTTTAGTAGTATTTAATATCAGGCTTTAATATTGCTGGATTTGCCACCTTTGGTTCCTTGTGCAGTGTTAAAAGTAATCCACATTCTTGTTTAATATACCTGATATATATCAAAAGCAGCTTTGAATAACTGTAGCTGTTGATTTGACTGTGCTGAATTACTACATCAAGATCTTGTACTGTGTAACAGTAACTTTTTTTCTCTCTTCAGTAATTTATTATATTCATGTACCAAAATACGAACTTCAGGATGCATTAAAATTTTCTTTGTTTTAGCAGTGGCTCAGATTACTTATGTAATAATCACTTATGTAATAATTTGCAGTTAATTGTTCTTTTATTTTTTATCTTGTTTAAGCCTGTGATCTTTCCTCCCCAAACTAAGAATCCTCCAATAAATTTAAGAGATGCCTGGCTTTGGATTTCATTCTGTAGTATCTCATTAACTACTCTGTACTGGACTAAAAGAGTGGCATACAAGCAGGACTGCTGTGATAGAAGACCCATCAAAGGACCTAAATGTTCACATTGTGGTTTTGAAGAACATGAGAAATCAGAGATCTTTTCAATTACTACGATCCTGGGCTAGACCTACTTACAGTGCCCCTAGGTGCTGACCTAAGTGACTGGAAAGGCTGGTTGCCCCATCAGTTTTGGATTTTAGTGTGAAGTAGAGTAATTATGATAGTTTTGAATAGTAACTAGGTTATGAAGTTCTTGTGATAGAGATTTAGTATATACAGATAGTACTTTGGTCACATGATACAGCATGAGATGTTTAAGTAAAACCAAAATCAAACCCACTGGGCATTGAGTCGATTCCGACTCATAGCGACTCCTGTTGGGTTTCCAAGGTGGTAAATCTTTATGGAAGTAGATTGCCCAGTCTTGGTTTCCTGGAGTGGCTGGTGGGTTTGAACCACCAACCTTCTGATTAGCAATCAGATGCCTTTGACATTGTGCTACCAGAGCTCCTTGAGATACGTAGGGGCTGCTTGCTTATTACTTTCGATAAATGTTTCAAAGTGCTGGGAAATAATGATAGCAAAGAATGGGGAGGCTTGAGTATAAGTACATCCCAGTGACTAAAAAAAAAAATGACACGACTCAAAAAATACTGAGAAAAAAATAAGATCCCATAGATAGAAGGGGAAACTGGCTCAAAAAATAATGGGAGGTTGTGATAAATGACATTTTCATGATTTTACACATTGAGATCATTTGTGATCTATAAACCCACCAGCCACTCCTCGGAAGGAAGGTTGGGCAATCCTACTTCCATAGTGATACTGCCTCGGAAACCCAAGGAGGGGTCACTATGAGTTGGGGCCGACTCAATGGCAAACAACAACAACAACAACAACAACACCTTAACCAGGATAGAAAGGAGGGTGAGGGATTGGACTTGAAGAATTACCTTGAGTTTTAAAAACGTGTGAAAGATGGAGAGGTTACATATCCAAGGATGAATGTACCATTGGTGCTATTATCTAAGAAGGGTAAGAATGAAAATTTAGAGTTTTTTTTTTTGCAGTATTCTGTTTACAACAGGAAGTACAAAGAGATCTTCAAAGTCACCCT